GTCTAGGGCCCTATCTTAGAAGGAGAAGAAAGACAGGCTCCCATAGACTGTTGTCTGTCATCAGCTCCTTCTGGCAGGGGGATACAGGATCTGCCCAAATGTAGACAGGCTCTGAGCCAGGCTGCACAGATGTACACAGTCCTCTGAGCCAGGCTGGGAATGCTCCAGATGAACTGCCAGACTTCTGTGTCTGAAACTCTGAGAGATAAGGAGGAAACTTGGGTGGCACCCTCAGAGACAAAGCAATTCTGCAGGTTTGGAATGTGCTGAAATCCCAGCAAAACCCAAGAAGGTGGTAATATATTTGAAGAGGGGGGCATGTGAGAAAATCAATCAACTTTGTAGCAATTCTTGCTTGTAAATTAACTAACTACATTCCTTTCTCCCCTTTTCTTTCCAGACTGGGTTTTGAGGTTTGAGACTCACTGCCCATAAATCCAGAATCACTCCTCTTCCCCTCACTCCTTCCATCACTGAGATTCCAAGGCTCAGAAATCCTTGGCCCCTCTCACTTTTTCCATTTAGTCAATTTTTCCTACAAATATTTATTGAGTACCATTTTTTTCAGGTAGACAAGGACTTATAGGGAGGAAGAAACTTACAGGGGAGAAAGATATGAAAGATAATTGCATATATAATGAGGATGTAATACCTGTGACAAAAGAAAAGTAGTATCAAATGAGAGTGAATACCTGGTGTCTTAGCTCTTCCTGATACTAACAAAATACCAAAGACTAAATTGTTTATAAAAAGCATATATTTATTTCTCATAGTTCTGTAGACTAGAAATTCAAATCAAGGTGCCAGTAGATTTAGGGCCTGGTAGAGGACCTGCTTTCAACTTCCATTATGGTGCTTTAATGCTGCATCATCACATGGTAGAAGGGAGAAAGGCAAAAGGGCCTTACTAGTTTCCTCAATCCTCTCATAAGACCCTAATCCCACCCATGAGGGCAGAGTTCTCATTGCCAAATCATTTCCTACAAGCCTCTTAATTGGTGACTAAATTTTAATATGAATTTTGGAGGGGAACAAACATTCAAACCACAGCACCTGGGGCCAGATCTAATCTGAAGAATCATATTCAAATCACTTCCTTTTCACTTGTCCTCTTCCTATCATCACCCTCATTATTCCTTTCATAAGAATGGTGTCTTCTGGGGGCTGGGGATGTGGCTCAAGCGGTAGCGCGCTCGCCTGGCATGCGTGCGGCCCGGGTTCGATCCTCAGCACCACATACAAACAAAGATGTATCCACTGAAAACTACAAAATAAATATTAAAAAAATTAAAAAAAAAAAAAAAAAAAAAAAAAAAAGAATGGTGTCTTCTGAATTGGCCCCTTTGCTGTGTATACCACAGCTTTGATTCAGATCCTTCCTAGATCATTGTATCTATCATCTAATAAGTCTTCCTGTTTTTTTTTTATTTTGCCACTCAAGCCCATTCTATACACTGAAGCTATAATTTGTAAAATACAAGCTCCTCCTTGCTTTCACTTTAAAGTTTTTATTTCTCCTTCCTGTACAGTTTGTTCAATTTTTTTTTTAAAGCCTTATCTCCTATTCTTCTACAGGGACCTCTCACTTCAGCCTGACACAGTTTCCCATCTCCAATATTGTTTATTCATGGTCTGCAGTGTTTTATGTATCCATCTCAGTACAGGAAATGACTCTTCTGAATTCAAGGCATTCACTGATGAGAGCACACTATAGATGAAGCACTTTGCTAGGCACAGGGCAAGATGAGTGAGGAAGAAAAAGCTGGAAGCCAGAAGTCAGCACATTTGATGACAACCCCAGATGGTAATACCTGTTTCCAGAATAGACTACATACTTTTTGAAGGCAGCAACAGGGTCTGACTAAGGATACTGCAGTATCCTTGGTTAAATGATACATAGAAATAATTCAACAAACTTATTTTACTGTATAAATAAATAAATGAATGAATAAAAGTGACAGATGTTGGAGTCTGGGGAATAAACCCAGGCCTCAAACATACTAGGCAAACACTCTATCACTGAGCTACATCCCCATCTCTTTTCAAAAATTTTGAGACAAGTTTTTCCAAAATTATCCAGACTATTTTTGAACTTGTGATTCTCCTGCCTCAGCCAGGAGAGTAGCCAGGGTTACAGGAACGCACCACTACACAAACCAGATATTGTTCTTAAACTATCTTGCTCTGGAGTTACAAGTGTATGGGTCTAGACTCCTTAAAAGAGAATATCCTGAGAGGTAGGAGTTATGACTTATGTGCACTTTTCACAAACAATTATTTTACAGAGTGGTTTCACATGGATTATTGCTTCTGTTTCTCTTTACAACCCCATGAATTACCATCTCCATTTTATAGATGAGGAAGCTTCCTTTCTTTCTTTCTTCTTCCCATTTCCTCCTCTCTCCTCTTCCTTTAGGATGCATGTATGGTCTGTGCATTTTGTATCCCTATCACAGAAAGAGATTTGGAAGGGTTAAATGTAAAACGAAGATTACAAGGGCTAGTGGGGCTATTTGCCCTGGGTTTCACATACACTTAACCTTTCTTCTTTTTGCCTTCTGTTGGGGATTAAACCCAGGAACACTCTTCCACTGAGCTATATCCCCAGCCCTTTTATATTTTGAGAGAATCTCACTAAATTGTTGAGGCTGGCTTCCACCTTGTGATCTTCTGATGAGGCCTTCCCAGTCCCTAGGATTATAGGCCTGTAAGACTGCCAACTCACTCCAGAATAGCAATTATAAAGAATACAAGTAACAATAAATGTGGTGAGGATGTGGGGAGAAAGGTATTCTCATACATTTCTCATGGGACTGCAAATTGATGCAATCACTATGGAAAGCAATATGGAGATTCCTTAGAAAACTTGGAATGGAACCACCATTGACCCAGCTATCCTACTCCTCAGTCTATACGCAAAGAACTTAAAATCAGCATAGTACAGTGACGCAGCCACATCAATGTTTATAGTAGCTCAATTCATAATAGCCAAGCTATGGAACAAACCTAGGTGTCCTTCAATAGATGAATGGATAAAGAAAATGTGGTGTATATACTCAATGGAATATTACTCAGCTTTAAAGAAAAGTGGAATTATGGCATTTGCCAGTAAATGGATGGAGTTGGAGAATATCATGCTAATGAAATAAAACAGTCCCCCAAAACCAAAGGCTGAATGTTCTGTCTGAGGGAAATAGGAATGATAGTAGAATTAATGGGACATAACTTTCCTATCTTTGTATTTGAATACATGACCAGAATAACTCTGCATCATGTACAACCACAAGAATAGGATCCTAATTAGAATAAGTTATACTTTATGTATGTATAATATGCCAAAATACATCCTACTGTCATGTGTATCTAAAAAGAACAAATAAAAAGAAAAAAAAAAAAAGACTATGCCCAGCCTAAATTTGACATGCCAATGTTGTCCAAATATAGTTAGTGTGTACTGTGAGACAGTGTTTTGGGTTAAATGTAAATTAAAAAATGTACTACAATTTTTGTACCATACTTTCTCATGTTGTCATTTTTCTTTTAAACATACTGGAAGTTATAAAATTGGGAAGAGGCCCAAGGTAATCGAGTAAAGTCTGACCCCTAGTAAAGGGCTCAGGCTAGGACTGAGATGTTGAACCTGAGATCTCCAGATGCAGAGGCTTTCACTACCTCAAATAATTCCAGTATGGTCTTTCATATGGGTTAAACTCAAGGGGGTTAGAGTCAGATGTGTTCCCTTCAAAGTTCCAACAGTTACTTTATGACCTTGCTTGGCAAATTATTCAGCTTCCTTATTTGAAAACCTGAGGGCATAGAACAGAGATGCTTTTAGAATTAAACGAAATGGCGTTTGAAGCATTCAGCACAGGCCTGGAGTGTAGTCACTGCACAGAAAATGGTAACTATTATTATAAGAACTATATTTGTTGAATGACTCTGGCATATAATACCTGCATTCCACTTGAACACGGAGCTGTCACAGGCATTCGGTTGAAGGGGTGGGAACTGTAGCACTTACCAATTTTTTTTCTAGAAATAAATCATGTGGGAGGATAACGACCGGTTGGGAAAGTGTGAGCCCAGAAGGAACAAATATGCAATCACCGGTCCAAGGAGCAAGGAAGCGAAGTTTTTCCCGCAGGCTGCAACGCTAAATCGCCCTCGGATTTATTAGCAGAGGACTGGGTATACCTGCCTGGAGCAAGGATGCCTCAGAAACCGGATTTTTGCGTAATGAGACAGAATTTCCTCATTCAGCTCATCTTATTCTCAGGAACCACACCCTGCGCGCCGGGAGGAAGGACTGCAGCTGCTAGGCGGCGGCTTCCGCACAGACCCAGACCTGACCATCTATGGTCACAGAGTGCACCCAGCAAACAGGAAGTGGGGTGAGAATGGAGAGTTTTTCTCCACCTTCCCAGCCCGGGGCGAGAAAGTCGGGCGAGGGCGGGAACGCCTAGACCTACGGGCTGGGTACAGAGCGTGCTAGCTAATAACCTTTCTATCGCCCAGCCTCCCCAAGTCCTCTTAGAACACTGGGCAGCCCAGCTGCCTCTGCGTATCACAAACCCGGAAACCGAAGTAGAGGTGAAGTTGGCCTCGACCCCCCATAGAGAGTTGATGGCCTCCCGGGCTCGGATACTCTGACTCCGTTTCTCTAGTCCTTCCAAGACCCCTTCCATAATGCCGTGGAAACGGTCCGGACTTTGCTATTGACACCAAACTGACAGGAGAATCAGCCACTCATCTGTTCTCTCTTCTGGAGGAGGGGCTTTAGCCTGTGATTTCGGCCCTTCATTGGTCCGGGGCGACTCCTGATCGGAGCGGTGGACAGAGGAGCGTGGCCGGACCTACGAACGCGCCCTCCCCGGCTCGCTCCCGCCTCCGGGCGGGGCTCTTTACCAAGTGCCCTCTGCGCTAGCCCTGATTCGCTTTCCCAAGCATGGTGAATAGGGGCGGAGTCACGAGCCGGGCAGCCGACTCCCTCTCCAGTGCGGGTCCAGCCTAGCGGTTCAATCTGAGGTTCATTTCCGGTGGGAGTGCCGCGCCCAGTGAGGGCCCGGAAGTGGGGCGCGCGAAGATTGCTGGGCGGTTCTTGCCGGAAGTGGAGAGCGGCTGAGCGGAGTTCCGAGGTGAGGCAGAACTCTTAAGGTGAGGGTACGCGGCTGGGTAGGGACTGGGGTTCTTTCCGGGGCCCACCGGTTCCTGGCATTGTTAGTGGCCGATCCCTGCTGAAGGGTCTGGGGTGAGGCCCTCAGGCTGACTCGGACTCCTGGGTGCGGTCTCTTGAGGTGGGGCCGGGGTGACCTGCTGAGCCGGGCGGTCCTGGAGAGGCCCCTCCATTCGATTTCACAGCGCTTTAGGTCAGCCTCAGCGGAGACCTCATTCCTAACGTGCCCTAACTGAAAGGAATCTCCGAGACCTTAGAGTCTTCCCTTTCCCCCGACTCGCTCCCATCTCACGGATGGGTAAATTGATCCCCGAAAACGGGAAGCAGTTGGTTTATGATCATGTATAGAATGAGGAAGAGAATCGGAATTATTACTTTGTTTTCATAGATAACCAGTACCAGATCCTTCCGACGTTCATTACCTTGATATGCCTCTTTACTTGGAGTAGTCTTCCGGTCCGGGCAGCTGTTGGTTAAAGGCCTCTTGATGCGTGGAACTTTTTTTTTTTTTTTTTTTTTAATACATTTAGCTGTTTGAGATACGTGGGAAGTTTTTAAAAGAGGCAAGTCCTGCCTTTGCTTGCAGATAGCATCTCTTTACTCCGAGATTGCTGCTCTTAACTCCGAAAAGCCAAGCCAACTTTATTGGCGGGGTTGTGTACTTTCGGAACTAAAATCAGGTGTTGGTGTGGCCCCATTACTGAGAATCTATAGTTACAGATGCCTTATTTAACTGCCCTCGCTCCCCATACTGGGGATTCAACCCAGGGATGCTGTACCACTGAGTTAAACCTCCAACCTTTTCTATTTTTCATTTTGAGACAGGATCTCCGCCAAGTAGCCCAGGGTGGCCTGGAACTTTTGATCCGCTTGCCTCAAGTCTCCGGAGTAGATATTACGGTTGGCTTTATTTAACTTCTTTATGTCTCATTTTGCTTATTTTTAAGTGGTCTCTGCTCACCTCCCAGGATTAAACTCAGAGTATAACATTATCTTTATTCTGTACCAGCCTTCTCCCGGATTCAGTGAATGCTGCTTTGAAACAAAACAAGCTAGTCCCTGCCTTCATGGACTAACAGTGTTTGCAGAAACCTTTCAGAAATAAGTATAAATGTGTTGAGTGTTAGGAAGAACAGGGTGCTATGGAATTATGTAACAAGGGGTTCAGAAAAAAATTTGAACGATGAATAGAATAATGAAGAGGAGATGAGGACATTTTATACAGAGGTTATTTTCAGAACTATGTAAATTTGAGCTCTTTGTAAGGATCCCTAAATGAAAATCTAGGGGTAGCCTGACACTTTCATTATTTATGGACTTTTAAAGGTGTGAAGTACATATTAAATGAGGCATTTAACCCTTGTGGCTAAGAATATACTTGTTCTCATGAAGTTTACAGAACAGGAGGAAATAGGCAAGTAAATCAAAGATAGCTTACTGTATGTACTGTAATGTATACAAGGCTATGAGAACATAGAGGAGAAATACCTAAACCAGATTTCCAGGCTTCCAGGTAGGAATGGGAGGATAAATAAGATTTTTTTTTTTTTTTTAACCATATAGTGATCTGGGAAAGGTATTTCCAGGTAAAGAGAACTGCATGTGCAAGGACATGGAGACCTGGACTTGTGAAAGACTGACTAATTCAGTGTGACTGGAATTCCATAAATGCTTGGAGAAGTGGAGGAAGTAATAAGTGATGGAGTCAACTATGGAGGACTTCATGCTGAGGAATTTGGATTTTGCGCCAGAAGTTATGGGAATGCTTTGATGGTTTTCTTAAAAAATATTTTTATTAGTTGTTCATGGACCTTTATTTACTTATTTATATGTGGTGCAGAGAATCAAACCCAGTGCCTTGCACATGCTAGACAAGTACTCTACCACTGAGCCACAACCCCAGCCCCCACTTTGATGGGCTTTATGTGGGAAAAAGATGTGATCAGATTTGTTTTAGAAAATACACTATCTTGAGTGGAAAGGAACCAGACACTGGAGAAGTAGAAGTGTTTGGAAGCTGTTGCTGTAGTCATGGCCTGAACTAAGAAGGGAAGTGGAAATGGACAAGAGGGATCATATTTGAGAAATGTTAAGAAAATGAAAACCAGGGATTGGAGGCTGATTATGGTAATGAAGAAGTAGGAACAGTCTGGACAATTGCCTGGTTTTCTGGCCTAAAAAGCTGAGTAGTATTCAAATAGGGGATATAAGAGGTACATTGGGAGAGTGGTAAATTAGGGAAGTAGCACATAAAAAATAAATTTTGGACTTGCTCAGTTGGAGGTGTTTGTAGCATATCTAGGCAAAGATGTCCAATAAGGTTTCCCAGCTAGAGCAAACAGCAAGAGCAAAGGTGTGAAGCAGGAAAGAGCCTATTTTATTCAGTAATACCGGAGTCTGGAGTTTGGCAGAAACTGGGGAGGTGGGATGGGGTTCATCTGCCAGGTTGTGAGGGTTTTGATGCCTTGTTTGGATTTCTTTTTTTTCCTCTCTCTCTTTTTTTTTTTTTTGTTCTGGGGATTGAACCCAGGGTACTTAACCACTAAGCCACATCCCCAGCCTGTTTTTAGATTTTATTTAGAGACAGGGTCTCACTGAGTTGTTTAGGGCCTCATTAAATTGCTGAGGCTGGCTTTGAACTCTTCATCCTCCTGCCTCAGCCTCCCGAGCCACTGGGATTACAGGTGTGTATTACTACACCTAGCTCCTTGTTTGGATTTATTCTGTAATTGACAGCTAATTTGCTTGGATTATTCTGTAATTGGACAGCCATAGTCCAACATAAAAGAAATTTCTTTAGGCATTTCCCACCTTCATCATATGGGCGTAATTGACATCTCCAAGGGGTTGAAATAAAATGATAGCAATGAAAGTACCTTATAAAGTACAGCCTGCCAGGCAAATCGGAAGTTGGGTATTGTAAGTCTATTTTTGTTTAGAGTAGGTTAGCTATTAAGTTTGTAAAATGTTTTGTTTCCAGCCTGAGGGTTGATCTTTTCTTCTTACCCTTTTCTTGGTCATTTATTTGTTTAGTTATAATTATGATTTTAACTAGAATCTGAGCCCTTAAAAAGTGACTTCATGAATCAGGAATGGGGGTACATGCCTGAGGTCCCAGCTACTCTGAAGGCTGAGGCAGGAGGATCACTTGAGCCCAGGAGTTTGAGACCAGCCTGGGCAAGACTAACAAGATTTCAACTCAAAAAACAAAATAAAAAAAAAAAAATTAATAAAAAGTGACTTCCTCCTTTTGGTTTTCTGAGATCATTTTGTTTAGAACAACCAAATGTAAAGTGTTATTGGAAGTTGAACCCTCTGGTTTGAAATTTAAGTATCCTTAACCTGTATCTTACTCAGTCCTAGTGATTATTCTTTTGAAATGTCATCATCATTTTCTTTGTTTACTACTGACCTGGCTTTCATACCTGATCTTTTCTCTACTATAATTAATCTCTTATCAGTTCTTTAGAATAATTTAAATATTATTTTCGCTAGCTTTGTGTTCTCAAAAAGTCATGTTTAAACTCCTTTATCTTACTTAAAAGTTCTCCACAATCAGTTTTTTTGTGTGTGTGTGTGTTGGGGGGGTACTGGGCATCAAACCTAGCTTCTTGTGTATGTCAGGGAAGAGCTTTACCACTGCACTATATCCTCAGTTTTACCCAGATCCTTATCTAAATTTTTATTGGGTGGCACAGACAGCTCTACTAGCTCTACTACTGAGCTATAAACCAGACCTTTTGGTTTTTTAAATTTTAAAACAGGTTATTGCTGTACTGCCCAGGTTGGCCTCAAACTTGAGATCCTGCTGTCTCAGCTTCCTGAGTAGCTGGGATTTCAGATTGACTTTCTAATTTAGATTGGCTTTTTATTTGAGTCGTTTGCACTTCTCATTGGCAGTTCCTTTATATCAGAATAGGGTTTCTCAGTCTAGGCATAGTTGATATATTGGGCAGGATAACTCTTTGTTGTGGTGTTGTCGTATGCATTGTAGGATGTTTAGCAGCAGCCCTCACCTCTGCCCATTGAATGCTTGTAGCACTTCCTCAGTTGCAGCAACCAAAAATGTCTTCACACCTTGCCAAATACCTCCTGGAGGACAGAATTACCCCTATTTGAGAACTACTGCATTAGCAAGTAGTTTACTACTGACCTGGCAATAATTGTGCAATGTCTTATCTCCCCAGCTAAATTCTCTGAGGACAGGCTCCATGGCTGTACTTAGCACAATGTACAGATTAAACACTCAGTACTCTAGAATGAATCAGTTATTTGTTTTCATTGAGGCATCCAGAAATTATTGGGCCTTCAAGGAATTCCTGGGTGGTCCTCAAAGAACTTGGCCCCTTCCCCCCATTTTCGGTGTGATCTTGTCTTAATAGAGAAATGCCACTGATTTGCACTAGAAGTAAGCTTTGTGTTGTCAGTTCAAGTCATCAGATTTCCCTTTCCTCTGTATTGTGGATATATAAATTTCCATTTTGTTCATGTTCGTATTGCCTTTGTTTAACCTGCTTAGTTTCATTGGGCAGGGATTATGTTTATTTAAGTTGCTTATGATTTATAGAGTTGGTGTTCACCTCTTTTGATCGATGAAATTATTGTAGTATTGTTAATGCAGTTATAGCCTTCACAATGAAACTATTTCTTCTTGATATACTATCATGTAAACCTAATAAAAACAACTACTGCTCTAAAAATATTCTTCAGCTACATTTGCAGCTCCGTTTGCCTTGTATTACCACACATTTGTGCCAGACTTTTCCATTTGGCCGGAAAATAGTTGAAATGGAAAAGTTTGGCGCACAAGTCTGGTAATACAAGGAATGGGCTTGCTATTTTTGTTTGAGGTTTTGGTTTGGGGGTAGGGATTTGTTTGCTTTTGTTGTTGTTTCCTCCATAGATCATTAAAAAACTCGTGTATTGTTCATTATTGACTTAACAATTACAGGTCTTTTCATATATTTAGTTGTTGTTGAATCATGGCTGAGGATAAATATCCTTAACCGTATATTTACATGTGGGAGTAGAAAATGCTATGGGTTTTTTGTTTTTGTTTTTTAACATTTATTTATTTATTTTTTAGAAGTTGTTGGACACAATACCTTTATTTATTTATTTTTATATGGCGCTGAGTATTGAACCCAGGGCATTGCACGTGCTAGGCTTCACTGCTGAGCCACAATCCCAGCCCTATGAAATGCTGTTTTAGTAAAATAATTCAGGATGAAATCAGCCAATGCAGTTGTTCTACAGTGGAAAATATGTATAAGATGAAAGGGCCTGCTAAGTACTCAATGCAGTTAGTCTTAAAATATTCTTTGAATGTAAGGGAGAATGGAGCCAATGACCACATGAAGGTAGGTTTGCCTTAAACCATAGAAACAGCTAGTTTCTAAGTCTGACTTAAGCTTGTACACTGTTACTCATTTTGCTTACTCCTGAAGTTTCAGATAGAGGACTGTGTGTAAGGAGGGAACAGGAGACAAACACTGATACTGGGTTGGATTCCTTCCCTCCCTAGAAGATAGGCCTTTCTTTTTCTTTTAATCTAAACCTCAGGTGGCAGTAACTCAGGCACTAAATGTCATTGATTTCATCAGCGAAACCAAATGCTTAGGGAAAAACAGTGGCTCATGATTTGGGTTAGATTTAGATGACATCTTTACTGGAGCAAAGTGGTGTCCTTTGGTTTCTGGGTTAAACCAGCCAGAAAGTATCTCCTATTAGCATGTTTAGGTTTTACTTGTGATATGTTGGAGCCTAGTGGTAAGAATTTCTATATTGTTAGGAGTAGAACTAACTAATATATAGTTTAGTGGTAGCTTAGAAGAGATATCCACATAGAAATTTTTTTTTGTTATATAAAAGTTACGTTTCTCTGTTAAAATTTGGAAAAC